CAAAGGAGAATGGGTCCAAACTTTCATATAAGAAGCAGAAAGTGTACTGTAAATGCACAATATAATGAGCAGAACACAAAGCATAATTTATAAATTAACCTTTACTCTGGATGTATATATTACATTAATATCACATTAGAATTATCAGGGTTTCATATAATTTTTATTTAATTGTATTACATTGAAACACCTTTATTTTTTCATTTTTATGCTTATTTCCCCAACCGATGGTACAGTATAAATCTAAAAATTGCTCTTAACTGTTTCATTCACTTAATGAATGTCTATCTAAAGGGAAGGAATGCATCTGCATGGAAAGATTCTCTAAGGAAAACTTAGTATTCATGTTATACATTGAAAAAATGAAGAAAACACTCATGCAGCCAGCTTTTTTTCACCTGGATTTTAAAGAGAGACTGGGATAGCGGTGTTCAGCAGGCTTATCTGCTTGTAGATAGATGGGCTTATTAATTACTATATAATTCAAGAACTAGTTAATTTTCATATGGTAAACATGCCTACTGTCACTGAAGGATCATGCATCTGCATTAAACAATAAAAATATAACACAAATTTGAATTTTAAATTAAACTTACTATTAGAAGAATTAAAACCAAATGCTGTAATTTGAAAATGGGGAAAAAATGTGGTTTATATTTGAAAAAGCAAAGATTTTTGTCTGAAAAGTAAAATATATTTTACACACACCTGTTGCTGTAGATTACTTTGGAGGGAATTTTCTATGGGATAAAGTAAATAAAGTTGTACACATTAAAAGAAATATATATTTCTTTCGTTTTCAGGGACTGGAACAATTCGTTACACCACACTACAACGCAGTAAACACTTGACCAATAAGCTCAGAGAAATCATGGAACTGATGTTCTTTGTTTACATCGACACGCAGTCTCATTGGATATTGATGTAGTTTATTGGACAAGCTCTCCTGGCACGAGAGCAAACCAGCTCCCCATTGCAATTTTGACGTCATCAGTTACCAGAGCGGTAAAGCGTTGCACTTGAATTCGACTTTAGCAGACGATAGCAGGAACGCCTCTTGCGAGCTAACATTTGCAATTTATCAGAGCGTTGCACTTGAATTCGCCCCTTAGTCAGATTTATAATGGCAAACATTAAAATAGATGAAAGTAAAATTTAAATTATAGAATGTACTTTATAAAATTAATAAAAAGTGGTTAAAAATATATATTTTAATTACTTAAAACATAGAAGTTATTTGGCAGAGATTGTTGGATATAAAATTACTACTTAAAATTTTCAGATTACTGTTGTTCATATTTAAAGTCTCAATTTGCAGTCTTAATCAACCATTAACAACCATTGTAAAAATCACCCGTTATCATAATCCAAAGATCACCAGCATACATTTTTTTCAAAATGGTGCATAATATTAAATATTGGCTTTTGATTGTCAAGTTGATGCAAACAAGATGAACTGTTTTTATGAATTTAGACTAGTAGTTTATTCTTCCATTCACTTATTACAGTATTTCATTTTTTATATGCTCGACTATCCAAAATTTCAAGAGCTTTCCGGATATTTTTTTAGTTGAGTTTTTACTGTACAATCATTTCAGTATTTACATCGTCAAAATTTCACAGACACATACTTGAAGCGAATTTACTTTTACAGCTAAACACATGAACTGGAAAACGAAAAAGTACTTATTCATAGATTGTATTTCTTTTTTGTTCATGAAAATCAAAGTTCATTACACAAACATGCAATCACACTGCACATAGAAATTCTTAACACATTTAGTAATCCTCATAATTGATTACACATTTAGTAAATAAATCAGAAAATATTTTAATGTATAACAAATGAATAAAGTAGTTAAGCTTTTATAAAACAGAGCATAATACTGGAGTTACAAAGATATCTAATGTTATAAAAGTTAGGTAATTTAGTAAATTTCAGTTTTTCACCAAAGCAATGAAATATTTTGATAATTATGAAGTTCCTTGTATATCTTTATAAATGAACTTTATTGCTGTTTTAAGCAATTAAACAACTGTCCAAATTATTTTAATACTTTTAAAATATATGCACTAAAAGAAACATTTATTAATCTATTTGTCAACCTTGATTTTGGCATAAAAGTCTGCAGAATGCTTCGTAGTTGTTAAGCACACAGAGGCACTGCAATTCTTTCTTATTCCTTGATCTGAAGTTTTCAATTTTGCGATGAATGCATCACATTTATTGCCGAGTATCACCTTCCACATTTTTCATACTGTTAATGTATACATCAGCAGTGAATTATTCTCCTCTTTCCTCAAATACCCTACGGCGATAAACAATAACCATTCACTAAAGATATTGCGTAAATTTCCACTCATAATAATTTAAATTGCGAAAATCTCACACTTATCACCTAAACACGCTATTCAGAACCAAAATTCTTTCGAAAGCGCGCCGTAGTAGTCAAAAGTGGGGTAGGCATCTTGCCAGGTGAAACTAGTCGATATTTCCGTGACGTCAAAAATTCGAAAAGTGGGGTAGGGTTTGGAAATACGCGACCCGAAGCTCCTTACTGCAGGCGGTGGCCGTGGTTTTGGCCGGGCAGCCGGACGTGGTGGCGAGCTCATCCTTCCTTGAGGAGTACAGTCTAAAACAAATCAAAAAAGACAGAGCAGAGAGCACACAGCACAGTGAAAATAGAAAGCACTCACGTAAGTTCAAAATTATAAAAGAACAATCTAACTATGAGATGTTAGAAAATAAAATTAGGACTAATATTTTGAAACAACATTTGTTCAAAGATTAATAAACCATGCTTCATATCGAAAGACTTTTGATGGATCCTGATAAAAACTTAATTCAGTAAATACTGAAAAATTATTTCAGTGCTACGAATTACAGTATTAAGTGAATAAAAAATATTTCAGAGTATACTATAAAAGCTTCTCCTTATAAAATAGCGTTTAATACGTAAAAGGATTAAAATTAGTGATTAGCTTATGGAAAATTTACGACAAACAAAATATTTCAGTAACGATATGAAGAAAGAAATGCACGAAGATCCCAAAATCACGACAAATTGGCGACATTTGAGTTGCTCTTCGTTACAATAATAAACATAAAGTTACTTCTTCTAGTAACCCGGAGCCAAATCTTTTCATCAGGACGTCATGCGTGATTGACATTCATTATAACCAATGAGAGGGTGCCATTACACTCAGCCGAGTGGCCTGTCTGCAAGGACACCAATGGAGATAAGTCCCTGGACCCACGACGAACTGGGTGTCGAGGCACCTACCGAGACTAAAAAAAACGAAAGGAAGAACCATGGACAGGAAAGCAAAGACGATGACCAGGACTTGGAAGATTACGCCCCACTAAAGGCCGCACCCAGCCGGGTGTCCTTTTCACATGGATGGGTAATCGGAAGCTTACTCGATCCCTGACCTGTGGCAGAACACAGGCTAAGGGCTCACGGCTAATCCTGGGACACTAATCCGAGTAAGCATAAAGACCAACCAGTAATTTCGACCCTAACCTGGAAATGGAAAAAATAAATGAAACGAAATAAACGATAGCGGAAGGAAGTAAAGAGATAGGAGTGAAACAAAGGAAAGACCACGCCCACCATAATAGTGAGTTTGTGGAAAGGAAAAAATAAGGGCTCAACAAAAGTATTTTAACCTTTTAACTGTCATACCCGAGATTATCTCGGGCACAGCACTGGTGTTCGAAAATGTCACGCCCGAGTATTTCTCGGGGTAATTTTTTTTGAGTGCATCGTATTGTCATACCCGAATATATATTGGGACATGTTTATTTCGGGTACATTTGGTTTTTCCAATAAAAAATTTGACAATTTGTGTACCCAAATCATCAAAATAACTTGACAGTTAAAGGATTAACACTAAATAGTGAAAAAATACTAAAGAAGAGCAAGAATGGACAGGAAAGAGGTCGAGAAAGTTAGACCCCACCCATCACATGAACTAACCGAAAACGGCTATTTGAGCGATAGCGGGAAAAGACACCTGCACGCTCACAAGAAAAGGAAAGGTTTCTACTGACGCAAACCAACCCATCAACCATAAATAGGAGAAAAAATAAGACAAAAAATAAAGCAAAATTTACCAAAGATCCACCTCCGCTCCGCCCTCCGGATGAGGCAACTACTCCATCAGCATAACCACCGGTCAACCTATAAAAATAAATTAAGCTGATAAGAACAGAGGAAAAAAATCTTTATTGAATCAAGCAAATGTTGGAGGTTATTTACAATATTCAAAAAGCTCAGTAGGAACAGAGGAAAAAAATCTTTAGGAATTAAAGCAAAAATTTACCAGATCCATCCGCTTGATGAGGCAATACTCCACATACCAGGTACAATAAATTTTGATAGAACAGAGGAAAAAAAATGAATCAAGCAATGTGGAGGTCAAAAAGCTTAGCTTTTGACAAAAATTATTTACAATATTTACATAAAGAATATCACTGCACATGCAGGGTGTTTTCATGTGACTGACAAGAAGTATTTAGTAGGAATTATGTACAAAATATATGTCCGCACAGGCAGGGTGAACAATAAAACGTAGTATACAGTCCTGAATGAGTCTATGTAATACATGTATGGTCCATAAGAGTTTGTAAACAGTCATTACAACGACATGGAAGTTGAAAAGTATTATGCAGATTCATTCATGTACTAGAAAAAAAATAAAAGGCAATCACAAGAATGTCTATGACGCAGCAGTTGCTTGAGGGCCCCGGTTAAATGTTCCACGTAAATGTCTCTTGAAGCACGAATCGTGTCGCTGATGATCAGCTTCCTCATGAGTCTTTGATATTTTTTGGAGCATAGTCGGTTGAGAATTCTGTCGTTAGCGGAGTCCCAGGATCCTAACGCGCTAACAACAATCGCCTCAACACGAACATCGCTGAATCTTCTTCTCAGGTGCTCGACGACGGAGCGATACTTCTGTTCTTTCTCCCTGCGTGCTGCTTCGAATGAGGACAGTCAGTTTTCGAAGGGGACTGTAATGTCGAGAATGAGGCAGGAGTCATATCTGGTGAAAACAAGGTCAGGACGTAAAGGAAGGTCTTCAATGGCCTGGTTCTCAGAAAGAACGTTCCATCGCCTACTCGCAGCCTTCTTGATGAGTTCCACGATGGCGTTGTGGCGCTGTTGGAAAAGCCGGCTGTACCTCATGCAGCGACACAGCACATGGGGGAGAGTTTCATTGTTGTAGTTGCATCTGCGACACCCACGCTCGCTGTCGGTTCCGTGGCGAACACCATTCAAGGGCACGAGGTTGAATCTGGCTCGGTGTACAAATCGCCAGTCAGCAAAGCGCGTGAACGAGCCATCACGAAAGAAGTGACAGCTGGCCCTAGCAGATGCAGCACATTCCAAGGCCTTCCCTTGGTTTTGCAGAGAGAGAAGCTTTTCGGAACGAGCTTTCCTGAGGTTGGTCCGCAGCGTCCTGAATACTCGAGTGCGCTTGCTGGCCTGGAGAGATGCGTCCGCGTGGGATAGGGAGACATAGTCACCATCATCAAACAGCCAGAAGACACCCAGGCGGTGAGAGGCAGAGCGAGCCAGGGACCAGATCGAGGAAGAAGAGGCGGGAATCCTGAGGTGGCCGTCGTCAGATCCAGACATATACGCAGATAGGTCTTGATGGAAGACACAAGTCCTTGTCCTTTGTCCAACGACTTGACAAAGGTCTGTCCAGGCATGGGCACGAACTCCAGGGTCTTTGGAAGTGAGGAGCTTGAAGGCACCATCGATCAAAGCAATGTCCGAGTCCTCGGTCGCCAATGGAATGGCCAGGCATGCCGAGTTAGGGTCGCCATAAAGATATTCATTGGCAGCTCTAGACGGGACATTGAGGGTGGCCTTGATCCAGGGGCGCGGGACATCAATGCGGGCCCAAGTCGTCTTCTTGAAGTGGCCGGTCCTCATCTGGAAGGAAAGTGCTGAAACAAGGTCTTGATCGCATCCAGTCTTTGCCAGGGCGCGAGTCCATAAGCACCTTGCAAGCTTCTAGGTGGTCGGAGAGAGTGCATCGTCACTTGAGAGCTGGAACCCGATGGGCTTACCAAGAAACTCAGTGCCGTCACCATCTTCCGGTACGTGCAGGGTTGAGCCATCGATGACGAAGGACGTCCGTCGCGAGCCGACCAGCTGAGCGCCAGAGAAGTGCCAGGTGGAACATTTCACCGGGTTAAGCTCCAGGCCCAGGGAGCTATTTTTAATAGCTATATTTTAATAGCTGTGACTTACCTCTCGACCGTTTAATCGGAAGAGAGGTCAATTGTAATTTATTTTATTATTTGAAAGAAACTGGCTTTTATCACCTAATGTAATTTGTTTTAAAGATTGTATCTTGAATTTTAAATGTGCGGTTTTAACTTGTTCTTATATGACTTCATCCTCTGGATTTGATACATTTGTCTGCTTGTTTTTATTTATTGTATTTTAATTTCATCAATTGTACTCACCCCATCACGTGTTTGGCGCACTATAATCATCTTTGGTTTTGCGCCATAATCTCTCACTCACTCACTCACTCACTCTGAGGGCCGTAAAAAATCGCCAAACTATTCTTGATGCCAGTGCTGCCAAAAATAATTGCGGCAACACTAAGAAAGGAAGTATAATAGTAAATAACTATCTAAGATTGATGTTTGAATTTAGATGAAAGGTTAATTTCATATAATACTTTTTTTATTATTATAATTTATATAAAAAAAAAGGTTTTTTAAACATGACTGAATGGATGCCTGCATCGCTATTTCGCTACCAAGTTATCGCTAAAGCATAATTTCAACTCGTTCGTTGTTCAAACATAATTTTCTATAATGAATGATGCCTTTTATTTGAAAAATTTCTCGGTAAAGTGCAGAATCACCCACTTATTTCTTTGCCGCTTTTTACAAGGGTAAAAACAATTGGGTTTTTGTCAATTTTCTTTTACTTTTTAAGTGAAAATAGGTCGATGTGTACGTAAATAAAGTCGAGGGTGTGCCCAGTGCCATTTTTGTGCAATTCTGGGAATTTTTTCTTTTTTTAAGTGAAAATAGGTCGATGTGTATATGGATACCAACTATGTGCAATTCTTAAAAACGCGTCAAGCAGTGGGTGTTTCTGCACTTTACCCAAAATTCTATTGCACACTTTTCGTCATGGGCAATTTCGAAATTGTTAAATCCATAGAATATAAAAAAAGGATTTAAAAATTAAACTAATATTTCAATGGCATCTTAAGAAATATAGAACTATATACACTTATGCAATCTGAAATCGGCGCGTATGCTAGATTTAGCACACTGTTTAAATGGGCGCGTTTGCTAGATTTGGCGCTTTCGAGCATACATTTTCGCTGCAATTTTTTTACGGTCCTCAAAATGGAATAGTACCGATTTTACTTATGATGAAGATAAATTAACATTTAAAAAATGAATTTTACTTATAGATTGAAAGTATTTTGTAAAAGAACATATTTGAAAAGGAAAGTTAGATTAGATAGAACTTGAAAATAAATAAAATGTGTTAATTAATATTGTGTTGTTCTTATTAGTTAAGAATACATATTAGAATGGACTTCTAACTGTGAAGCATTTATTTATTTATATGAACAGTACTAACATTTCATACCATTTTGATCTTGATTTCAACATTTGATGTTAATAATTCACACAAAGCATTATTGACAGCTTGGTTGAATTCATGTTAAATAATTACATTCTGATCTTAAGTCTAATACATTTATTACAAGATAATGATATATAGTCTGCATTTCAATTCAAAACTCTTTTCATATATCTTTAAATGACCTAATTTTCAGTGCTACTCTTTTGTTATCGGGGCCAGATTCAGGCATGTATGCATGTGTGATTTCAATTTCAGTTTAGGTTAGTATAGCAACGTACACTAGGGCTATCTGCCTAAAAGGAGGTATACCTTCGTGGAGGACTTTCTAAGGGAAACTGGCTCATATACGCATTACACAAAGATAAAACCACGGAAACACCCACATATTCAGCTCATTTGCCTAGATTCAAATCCAAATTTGAACAAGTATTCAGAGATTTTACCGCTTAGCCACTGATAAGCCTAATGCACATGTGGATGTGTGTGTATACATACATACACACGCACATACATACATACGTTTCTGAATTCAGTCCTGATAATAGAATAATAATTTTTAACCATATATTTTACAGTTTTGATTAATTTTATATACTGTCATCAGTAATACATCTTAAAAATCATTAATTTCTTACTAACAATTGAATTTCAGTTGCCATCAGTTGATTCATATCTCGTACAGATCTCCTTATACATCTAAATTAAGTTATTTCAGTATACAGATCACCACGGAAGTTACATAGCATATTTAAAATAGTTATTAATTTCTTATACATAAAATGTACTTTTAATGAATTTGGAAATAAATTGAATATAAAAATCTGCATGTCATTAGATTTTTTGAATGCATAAACTTGTCAGTTAAAAATACATATTAATGTAAGAAAATCGATATTAAATGCTTTTCCTCGAAAAGAACTGTTCAAGGCATATTTCATCGGGTATAATCTTCAGCAGAACTCCAATTAATCAATCTTTAATATGTCAAAATGTTTAAGTTAAATTACTTTCAATCCATTCAATTTCACCTTCAGTTTAATTGTATTTAAATAGATATAGAGAATTATAAACACACATTGCAAACAATTCACTGAAGGTATATTTCCTGGAAATAAATGTATATTTATTAGATTCATTTCAGCCTTTTACCTTAGAATAGGTAATGATATCTCATTGTTAGGCATTGACAGTAGTCTTGAAATATCATAACTGGCAACATATCTTAGTAAATAATGTTCAGCATTATTTAACATTTGCAGTTTTATAGCTAAATTAGATTTCAGTAGTTCTATTACACTATCATTAAAACAGTTATTCAGTATTATTTTCTTTACATTTAAACAATACAATGAACTTCATTTCTGTGAATGTACAAGTACACCTGTTATAAATCCTCAGTTGATACAACATATAGGATGCAGGCAAAATTTTACTATTTCAAGGATTTTTGATGGAACTACAAAAAAAAAATGAAAAGATTACTATATCAACACCAAATCTAATTTTTATTCACCAACCCAGTAGTCAAAAATTCATCTTCTGTTATATTTTAACAAATTGGATTCCAAAGATAAAAACTGTTGCCAAAAACAATAATATGTAAACATTTATAATTATTAAAATATTTGCGAATTACTTTCAAACTAATTATTTATATTTTATGCTGTTACATTCACTCCTCTTTTAGTAATGAATGTTACATTAGAAAGATTGGAAGAAGTAATGGTGCTTATCAACGAATTTATTGTATAAATAAAATATCAGTTTTTGAATCGCAACAGTATCTTAAGAATTCTACTAGTTTGGGATTGTCTTAAAGCAGATTTAGGTAGAGCCACAGTTATTTTGGTTTGAATTACAATCGGCGTAGGTGTATTGTTTACACAATTTGGAGTCGTACAATTCTCTTGTTCAGGGATTTGGTGTGGTAGAATATATGTTGCCTTTAATCTGTCTGTCAATACATTTACTTCTGTATTCTTTATCCTGAGAGTAAAATATTTTGGTAAACAATTGATAACCAAATACAGACCTTCATATTGGGTTTCGAGTTGCTCCCAAAATCTGTGAATGCAAAAAAAAACATGAGAAGCTGATTCTAAATCTTTATGTATAAACAATTTGGAAATACCTTTCTGTTGTATTTCTTTTGTCCGAATTAATTCCACATACTTTTTGTAATTTATGTATAAAAGTTCCAGGTGGTATATGACTTATTTTCTCTTCAAAGACACCAGAAAGTTTGATATTTTCCCCATATACAATTTCCGCTATAGTATAGTTAGTATAATTGTGGATTGCCATTTGTAGTCCTAAAAGAACCATTGATAATGTTTCACTCCAAATTTTATTATTATGGGCTCTTAAAGGAGCCTTCAATGATCTGTGGAGCTGTTGCACTGCAGGTGAAAGGCTGGAGTGTATGAAAGCTTAATGCCGCAGATTCTTGACAGGGTTTCAAATATTTCAGATGAAAATTGAGTTCCTCGATCAGTTATTAGATGCAAGGTATTCAAAATATCTATTCAATTACGATAGAAAATTTTAGCTACAATTTCTGCCAAGATGTTTTCAAGCGGAATAGCTTCCATTCAATTTGTGTATCTGTATATATATGTTAGACAGTAGATATTACAAGTTGATGGGGGTAATGGACCAATAAGATCAATGTGTACTTTTCGAAATCTTTGTAATGGCTTTTGGGTACTTTTCCGTTTCGCCGGGGCAAATCTCGCCAAGCAGACTTACGACATACAGTATACACATAAAATATGTTAACAAATGTTAGTTCTAAGAATTTTTTAGTGTGAAGGAACAAACATTTTAATATCATTCAAAAGTTTGTCCAATAAATAAAGACAATAAATTTGTAAAAAGACATTAATTTAAGAATCTATTATGCTTTCATGGTTCAACAAGCTGATTCGCTGGTTCATATCACGTGACCCCAAGTGATCTCATCGCACGTAAATTACGCTACAAAAATATATAATTCTCTTATTAATTATCTACATTAATGTCAAGTTAAATCTTAATTTGGAATACAAGTTTAAATGCAAGAACTATTTCAATTCGTATGAACAGCTTACTTAGAAATTATGTAAAACCGCAGTGCTTTACTTCGCTAGTGTATTTTCATTAGAATTGATGAATTTAACCTTTTCTGTATTTTCGCCTTCGGGTGAGCAGTGTGATTGCATTCTAATTGACTTAATTACTGTGAATGACCTTAGGGCATAAAATTGTACTACTTGTTAAAAATTCTATGTAATTGTATGCCAGTACTGAAAGAACAAATGAATCTGATA